CGGCCCGCACCCTCCCAGGCCGGAGCCCCGGCCCGGGCGCCTGCCCGCGACCCTCACCCGGGCGCCGTGGAAGCCTCGGCGGCTGCCGGCCTCGCTACTCCAGTGGAGACGTGGCCGCGCGAGGGGCGGGGCGCGGCGCGGCGCGGCGACCGGCTAGGACCCTCCGGAAACAGCCTGGGCGCGCTGCCTCCGTTCCGGGAGACACACCGTCCACTTCTGCCGGCCAACAGCCGCCCTCGGGCCGGGCGGCCCCGACCGCAGGGTGGGACTCGAGAGCCCACTCACAACTGGCGCGAGGCGGACTTCAAAAAGTAAGTTTGCGAGTCTCTCCCTTACGGAAATGCAACCTCTGAACTTGCAGCACAACTCCAGCCGGAAGCTAAACAAGAGAACTTCCGGCGGAAGTGGCGTGGCCAGGGCTCGGGTCCCCGCCCCGCCCCAGCTGTCAGGCTGTGGGCGTGGTCACCCTCGCCCCGCCCCCTCGGCCCCGTTGCGGGGCGTGGCTAAGAGGCCCGGGCGCGGGTGGGGGCCGATGGGCGGAGTCCGTGCAGCTGGGTGGGGTGGGCGCCGGGGCTCGTCCCCGCCGCCCCTCGAACCCCGAACCACCCCCTCGCCCCGCGCCGGTTCTTATTTATCTTAAGGTGCCAATGCAGAAGTGACCCCTGCTGTGGAGCCATAGCAAGGTCTTAAAAATAAATAAATAAAAATGCTGTTGGAACAGGCCCTGAGGTTTAGGTGAAGGGTTTTTTCCTCTTTTTGTCTACGGGTATGGAATTGTTTCTGCACCGTTTATTGAAAAAACTGTCCTTCCTGCATTAACGTGATTTCGCACACTCGTGAAAAATCAGTCGGCTGCTTGTGGGGTGTTTCGCGGTTGTCGGATTCTCCCTGACGTCCTCCGTGGCGCGTCCCTCGCTCACACCGCGGCCCCCAGCGCCGCAGCCCTGACGTTGGGCCGGGCGTTTCTCCCGCTTTGCTTTTCTCGGGATTGTTCCGGGTATTTGGGGACCCATGCCCTCCCATGTAGATTTTGGAATAAACTTCCTATGTGTATAAAAATCCTTCCTGGGATTTTGATAGAATTGCGCTGAAACTATAGACCGATTTGGGGAGAATTGACATCTTTCCTATGTCGAGACTTTCAATCCGTGAAGGTGGTATGTCTCCCACTTAGGTCTTCTCTGACTTCTTTTGACATTTTGGAATTTTGATCGGACAGATCCTGTACATGTTGGGTTTTTTGTTGTTTTTAAAGATTTTATTTATTTATTTGACAGAGACACAGCAAGCGAGGGAACACAAACAGGGGGAGCGGGAGAGGGAGAAGCAGGCCTCCCGCCGAGCAGGGAGCCCGATGCAGGGCTCGATCCCAGGACCCTGGGATCATGACCTGAGCTGAAGGCAGACGCTTAACGACTGAGCCACCTAGATCCTGTACATGTTGTTGATACCGAAGTATTTAATTTTCTTTGCAGTAATTGTAAATGGTAACGTTTTAAAGTCTGGTTTCCACACGTTCATTGTTAGTGTATAGAAATGTGATTAAATGCTGTGTGTTGATCTTGTATCCTGAGAACTTGCTGAACTCATTAGTTCTAGGAGTTTTTCTTCTTATAAATTCCTTGGACTCTTCTACATAGATTGTCATCTCAACTGCAAATGCAAAATTTAACTCAAAATGATCATGGACTTAAATGCAGAAATATGTGAAACTATAAAACTTTTACAAGAAAACAGAGGGAAAATTTCAGGACTGAGGGCTTGCTGAAGTGTTCTTGGACATGATACCACAAAAGAACAAAATGAATAAACTGGACTTCACCAAAATTAAGAACGTTTGTTTTGAGAAAGATTCCAACAAGACAATGAAAAGACAAGCTACAGACAGTTACAAAATATTTGCAAACCGTATATTTGATAAAGGACTGGAACCTAGAATATATTAAGAACTCCCAAAACTTAAAAAAAAAAAAAAAGCAGTTAGAAGATAGGCCAACATATGAAGAGGCATTTCACCGAAAAGGATATACAGATGGCAAACAAGCTTGTGAAAGATGTTCATCACTGGCCATTATAAAAATGTGAATTAAGACCACCTCGAGATCTTACTACACATACCTACTGGAGCAGCTAAAATATATAGTAGCAATACTAAATGCTAGCAATGATGTGGAGAAACTAGATTTTTCATACATTACTGGTGGGACTATAAAATGGTACAGCCACTCTGTAGTTTGGCCATTTCTTTAAATTAAACATATACTTGATTGTATGACCCAGCAACTGCACTCCTGGATACTTATCTGAGAGAAATGAAACTTAAATCCACACAAAAAACTGGAAACAACCAAAATCCGACCAACCCCACAACAGATGAATGGTTAAACTGTGGAGCATCCACATCCACATCATGGGACTCTCTTCAGCAATAAAAAAGGACTATTGATACATGCAGCAATTTAGATGAGTCTCCAAGGCATTATGATGCTGAGAGGGGAAAAATCTCAAAAGAACGATACTGTATTACATGCTTTCACTTACATAACATTTGTGAAATGATATGATTGTAGAGATGGAAAGCAGATTAGTGGTTGCCAAGGAATGGTGGGGTGGGGGTGGAAAAGTGGGGCAGGAGAGAGGTCTTTGTGGTGAAAGCAATTCTGCATCCTGAGCTGTACACACTCTGGACTAACGTGTTTCCTGGTTTTGAGATTGCACCTTGCATAGCTGTAGTATAGTGTGGGAAACTGGAGAAACAAATTACGAGTAAAATGTGACAGACAACACTAAATGTTAAAACAAATGAGCCTATATATCAACGGCATATCCGTGCAGGGAAAAAAATGCTAAGTAAAAATTTTAAGTTTATTAAGGTATCATTTATATACAGTATAATTTACCCATTTTATGTGTACAATCAATTTTTAAATTTATAGTTATTTACATTTTAGTAAATAAAGCTGGATTTACTTCAATGCAGTAATAAAACATCTCCATAACCCCCAAAGGGTCCCTCTAGTCCATATGCATGCAGTCCCCCCAACCCCCCTTCTCTCGACAACCACTAACTACTTTCTGTCTCTATGGATTGGCCTATTCTGGACATTTCATATAAAAAGAACCACACAATACGTGACATTTTGTAACTGCCTTCTCTTTTACTTAGCATTAGCCTTTGAGATTCATTCATTTTTAGCATGTATCAGAACTTTGTTCCTTTTTACAGATGAATAATACTGCACTGTCTGGATACACCATATTTTGTCATCCGTCCGTTGGTGGACACATTCCAGTGACTTGAATGTGCTGGTCACTATTCTAAGTGTAGGGGCTAGCCGGGGAGCAGGAGACAGGATCCCAGGGGCCTGGGTGGCTCAGTCATTAAGCATCTGCCTTCGGTTCAGGTCATGATCCCAGGGTCCTGGGATCGAGCCCCACATCGGGCTCCCTGCTCAGCGGGAAGCCTGCTTCTCCCTCTCCCACTCCCCCTGCTTGTGTTCCCTCTCTCTCGCTGTGTCTCTGTCAAATAAATAAATAAAAATTTTTTTTTTTTTTAAAGGAGGCAGGATCCCTGCTCCAGTCCAGCTTTGTTTGTGTGGGGAAGACCTGCCCTTCAGGGCATCATTCCTGTGAAGCCAACTGTGTGTGTCAGTGGGAGGGGCTACCATTTACATGATTCATTCACTCAGTATTAATTATGGCCTCCTGTACTCCAGGCACTCCTCTAGACACTCACAATCCCTGCTGTCACGGGTGCTTACACAGAAACACAAGACAGTAAGTGAGTTCAGAAAAGAGCAGGGTAAAGAAACAGGGTGTGGAGGCATGCTGCTATTTTAGACAGACCGTCTAGGGAGGCCCTAAGAGGAGTTTGAGCAAACACATGAATAAAGTAGGGAGTCAAGCAGGTCATTGTGGGAAGTGTTTCAGGCATGGGAATAGCAAGGAGAGTCCTGTGTTGAAAGACTTCTTTGAGGAAATTATAGTTGAACTAAACTTGTATGACAAAGAGGCAGGCAGGTAAGGGTCTGGGGAAGAGCTTTACCAGGAAAGGAATCAGCACAGAGTGGGAGGGGGTCTGCCATGAGGGGCAAGCTGCACAGGGTCCGTCAGCGCAGTGGAAAAGCCACTGATGAGTTTCAAGCTTTCAGAAGGAGACAAACATACAAGGAAAAAAAAAAAAAAAAGAGGGTGCCTGGGTGGCTCAGGAAGTTAAGTGTCTACCTTCAGCTCAGGTCATGATCTCAGGGTCCTGGGGTGGAGTTCAGCATCAGGCTCCCTGCTCAGGAGGGAGTCTGCTTCTCCCTTTGCCCCTACCCCCTGCTCGTGCTCACTTGCTCTCAAAAAAATAAAATCTTAAAAAGAAAAAAAATGAGAGCGCATGAGGCTTAACAGAGAGGGAGGAAGGAGCTGTCCTCTTGCATCGGGGAAGATCCTGCCAAGTGATGCCTAAGCTGAGTCTTTGCATTCATCCGTGCACTCAACCACCAGCTGATTAGTCTGCCAGCAATCATTAGATGCTTGCCCAGGTCAGATGTTTGGGCTGAGTACACAAGAGTGAACAAGGCAGGAAGATCGCTGCTCTGGATTTTTGAGGGGGAAACACACAGTAAGCAAATGTTTACTTTCCCATAGTGACAGGCACCAAGCGGGCAAATGCTAGCATGGCTGGGTTGGAGGATGGCATGAGGTGAGTGTCCAGGGAGGCCTCTCTGAGGAGGGGATCTGAACCGAGCTGCGTGACCATCTGGTGCTCTGCAGCAGTGGAGGGTGTAGGAGGGCCCTACAGGTGGGGTGGGCAGAAAGGAAGATTTTCTGGCGGAGGGGCAGGGCCACCCAGTACTAGGCCTTCGTGGGCCATGATACTGTCATTCTTTTCTATGCAACAGGCCACCCCAAAACATGGTGTTTTCAAAGTGTGTTAGTTCTCATGGTTATATTGGTCGGCTGCAGTCATGCGCTGTGCAAACTTCTTTCCAGAATAAACAGGAACAAATGACCCTGATGTGTAGCATTTATCAATTTCCACGGTGTGAATCCTCCCGGGGGACAAATTTCAAGCCACCAACTTGAGGTCCACAAACGGGCGGGTGGGCAGGATGCACACCATCATAGAGAACCTGCGTCATGCAGACATGTCGACGCAAATACCCCTGAGAGCACACGTGACGGTCAGATGCAGTAAATTCACTGGGAAGAGAGGAGTCCTGAGTGCTTACTACCTTTAGCGTGACTTATGAATTCCAAATTTTCATGATTTTTAAATGGCTGTCTTTAAGTTACTGGGTCACGACATTCCTGAGACCAGAACGACGGTCTCCTGGGAGCTGGCAAGGCAGCCCTTCTGCAGGTCACAGAGCTCATGGTGGGGCTGGCCACCTTCAGCGGGCCAATCTTCACAACGGGGTCTCCCTCAGGCCCCTCCGAATAGCTGGGACAGTGGCTGAAAGCAGGAAAGAATGCACATGGCTTCACTCCGCTGCATTCACTTTTGCCGATGTCCTGAGAGATGGCGTAGACTGAGAGAGGCGTGACTGGGCTGCACTCCATGTGCCTCAAGGTCCTTGAAATGCATTCTGCAGGGAGCTGTGAATCTCCCCAAGTGTGTCTGGGCTCCTCCATGTCCCACCCCACACGGGCGGGCATCTCCGAGGGGAGTAACTGAGACCCGCCTGGAGCTCCCTCCAGGCCGCTGCCAGTAGAGTCCCCATTAGGGTCAGGCCTCAGCAGGCTGAGGTCTAGCAGGCTGAGTGGCCTGCTGGGTTTAAGCCCCAGAGCCACTGCCAGCAGCCGGTCTGCTTTCCACTGACAACCTGGGACACTCCTCTTCCTCTGGCCTGAGGGGACCCCACCTGCCTGTGGAGTGCTGATGGCCCAGGTGGTGGCGGGTGCCCCTGGTCTGGCCCACTAGTGATTAGGTCAGGGATGAGTTTCCATTTGAAGCAGTGGGTTAAGTTCACCTGCTCCTGCTTGATGGAAGCTGAGGTCTGGGAAGCGGTGGCCATCAACACAGGGAGACAAGGGTCCCAGCATGGCGTTGTTTCCTGCATCCAGCCACCCCTGAAGCCAGATCTACCCTGGGCTTTCTGAATCCAATCAGTCCCCCATTCATTTCCTCCCTCCAGCCTGGAGGTTGGCTTCGGACTGCTGGTGTCCACCACAGCCATCCTGATTCAGAGACGGGCTTCTCTGGGCCTCCTCTCTGCAGGCTGCATGACGACCCTCTCCCCCTCCTCTCCCAGTTTGGTTGCGTCCCTGGGGCACCACTCTGCTGCTCTCGCATCTGGGCCTGTGACTCTGACCCTGTCAGCTCTGCGGGATCCAAGACGAGTTGCTGGATTCTGGCTGCGCCCAGTAAGGATCCTCCACAGGTCCACGGCTCCCCTCACAGCTCGGACCCACAGGCCAGGAAGGTGTGCCGCAGATGGGGGTGTGGGCAGGGTTGGCCCCTCTTCTGAGGCGGGCATGAGACCAAGAGGGACACGGGTCTGGGGATGGGCTGGGTGAGGCTGTGGGAGGAGGAGAGGGCAGGAAGCCGGCAGCAGATATCCAGCCGTGCCTGCTCCGGGACTGGCCCAAGGACCTGCACACAAGCACATGGAGTCTTGAGCTGGCCAGTCACGCCCCGGCAGCCTGTGCTGCCACCGCTGCCACCACCACCACCACCACCACCACCATCACCACCACCACCGTCATCACCACCGTCATCACCACCGTCATCACCACCGTCATCACCACCGTCACCACCACCATCACCACCACCGTCATCACCACCATCACCACCATCATCACCATCACCACCACCATCACTACCCCCCACCATCACCAACACCACCATCACCACCACCATCACCACCACCATCATCACCATCACCACCACCACCACCACCACCATCACCACCACCGTCACCATCATCACCACCACTGTCACCATCATCATCACCACCACCACCATCATCACCACCACCGTCACCATCATCACCACCATCACCACCACCGTCACCATCACCACCACCATCACCATCATCACCATCATCACCGTCACCACCACCATCATCACCACCATCACCACCACCACCACCACCATCACCACCATCACCACCACCATCACCATCATTACCATCACCACCATCACCACCACCATCATCACCATCACCACCACCATCACCACCATCACCACCATCATCACCACCATCACCATCACCACACCACCACCATCATCACCACCACCACCACCACCATCACCACCGTCACCATCATCATCACCATCACCACCACCATCATCACCATCATCACCACCACCGTCACCATCATCACCACCACCGTCACCATCACCACCATCACCACCACCATCATCACCACCACCGTCATCACCACCATCACCACCATCATCACCACCACCATCACTACCCCCCACCATCACCAACACCACCATCACCACCACCATCACCACCACCATCACCACCATCATCACCATCACCACCACCATCACCACCACCACACCATCACCACCATCACCATCACTACCACCATCATCACCACCATCATCACCATCACTACCACCACCACCATCATCATTACCATCACCATCACCACCATCATCACCATCACCACCATCACCATCACAACCACCAACATCATCACCATCACCACCATCACCACCACCACCACCATCACCACCATCACCACCAGCACCACCACCATCACCACCATCACCACCACCATCATCACCACCACCACCACCTCCCCCCCGCCCCCCCCCCCCACAGGGCTGCAGCCCAACTGTGGACTGGCTGTCAGGTGGGGTGGGAGGGTGTTGAGGAACAGGAAGTCATAAAAACCTCCCGACCGCACACCCACCCAGGTCTGTGAAACAGCCCAGAGAATAACTGTCCTGCCCCCAAGCTCCTCCCATGAGTGAGAGCACACAAGTTCTCATCAGAAACAGGGAGCCCAAGTCCCAGCAGAGTTGGCCCTGCACCGTGGACCCCGCAGTCTAACATGATGTGTGCCCTTCCTTCATGGAAGGATCCAGTGCAGCCCAAGGGAAGTCACATGTTCTGTTTTAACCTAGGCCTAAAAAGCTGGCATAGCCCTTAAGAGCCACATCTTTGTTCTTACCTTTTTGGGAGGGAAGGGAGTGATGAGGCAAGGCCCTAAGATGTGGAGGGCAGGCCTCCCTCCTGCACAGGCTGAGCCCAGGGCTTAGACACAAAACCACAGCTTCAACATGCAACCAAAAGGCTGTCACTTGGGGTTGATGGATCCATGAGATCCTGTGCCTTTTCCCTTTTCACCAAGTACTCAGACCTGAGCCCCAAGCCCACGTCCCATGTGGCTCGTCTGAGAGCAGGGCTACCAGCTGGGCTCTCAGGAGCAGTGGTCAGTCCACCAGCAGCGCCGGTAGCCCGCCACCGTGACAGAAGGGGCAGCACGTCGCAGCCGACACGCAAACCAGTGTGGAGAGGAGAGAAACAGACACGGCTTGTTTATTAGAATGCAGGGAGGAGGAGGCCTCTTCCACAAACAGAGCTCTGCTTCTCAGAGTCTGTATCAAGAGCAAGACAATAGTTGAAAATCCTATTCCTGAGAAGAAGCAAAAGGTTACAATTTTGCAAACAAAAATAACATATGATTTCAACAAAAGGTAAAAAACTTTTTTTTTAACGAACAAAATTTCAAGTATTATTCCAGACGACATGGCAAACCCAACGCAGGACAGGCCTAGTGGGAGCAAAGGGTTCTCGTACTTCCGAGGAAGCGCTGCTCCAGGTGGGCGGGGGCACCACCAGGGCTGACCTGGCCCAGCAGGAAGAAATGAAGATCGTGGGGCAGCTCAGCGGGGCTTGCAGCTGAGCTGACAGAGCGAGAAGCATGCACCAATGCTTTGCTCCACAGCAGGCTTAGGGTGGTGGCACCCCAACTTCTGCCCTCTTAGGACAGGGCCACACACCTGACGCTGGGTGTCTAGGGTTAGCAGTTCTGGACATCTGATTTTTTCTTTTTCTAATAAACAGAAACATATGTTTATTCTTTCAAATACCCTACTATCCCAATTTTAGTCAATTTGTAAATTATAAATTATATTACTTGTGCTACCATTTGTGATAAATCTCACTAGAAGATAAGCACCAAACCTGTTACAAAAAAGCCTAAGCCGCCGTAGCTGTCCCCGCAGCGGGGCGCTCGGGTGTGCCCTGCAGGCTGTAAACTTTTGATCCCTTTCCCTTAAACAACAGACTTTCCTTTTTCTCCCATGGAAGCTTCCTTGAAGAGAGAGGTCTGTTTGAACCATAGTTTTGGGAAAGGTATAAAGAGCAAACCTGAACGTCATCGCCTCAATGGGAAGGGACGGCTGAGAGCGGTTCTTCTGGCCGAAGTGCTCTGGGCGGCCTGAGCTCAGAGGAGGGGTGGGTCGTGCTGCCCCGGCCTCCCAGGCCACTGGGGCGGGGGCGGGGGGTGGGGGCGTCTCGCTAAGAAGGTCTCACTCCACAAGAGAAGTCACACTACAGTGCCAGACGCAGAAACCTCCAGCATCCCCTGGGGGACTGTAAAATGCCCTTAAAATGTCTGTATCCAGTATTTTCTGAAACGTTGTCATTGACCTCCAATACCGCCCAAGCCACCTGGCGCCTCCTAGATGCTTAGTTCTTGAACCTTGTCTGTTCACAGATATGATTGAATTTCCTGCAAGGAGAAAAGAGTAAAAAAAAGTATTCACATAAGCGGATCCTGAAGTCAGCCGCTGAAAGTACGTCATGAGAAGCTGACTTCATGTGGGGTGGCGCACGGAGGCACGTTTTTAGTACCATCAAAGAAATTAATCCCTACGGCAGCCTTCTTTTTCCTTTTTAAATTTCAAAAGTCAGACATCTTTAGGTAATTTCCTTAGAGAAGAGACTCAAAGACTCAAAACCTCCTCAGTGTCCCCATGGCACCAGGGGCCACCCCGCGGGACGGACAGACTCGCCTGCTGGGCGACGGCACCACCACCTCCCTTTGTGAAGAGCAGGGCATCCCCAGAGGAAGACAGGTATGTCTTTGCTATCCTTACCCATGTTTTTATTAAGAAAGATCAGCGAGTTACCAGTAAAATTTCTTTCCCTATAATGAAATGGTCTCCTTCACACTGTCTACGCTCAACTACAAAACAAGGGTTTTATTCCACAGACTCCGTCTTTGAGCCTTTACTTGGGTCCTTGTCACCTGCACCAGGGACACACTCTCAGTGACTCTGATTTGAACCATGAATGACTGGGGATCATAGCAGCCTCAAACAGCATCAGTCCGTGACTGAGTCACATCATCACCTCACCTGCACCTACAAATGACCCCACGTGGCAATGCAGATGTCACTGTGAGCTGGAAATGCCCGGTGAGAGTCACTGAGCCATCACAGACACCTGCTCAAGGCACTGAAGACAGACCCAGAGCACCAGGACTTCTGAGCTGGGGGCTCAGAAGTTCTCAGTGACCACAGCCACCGATTAAGAAAGTGCTAACCCTCTGGTGCATCGGCGGGGAACAGCAGCTGTGTTCTGCAGAACACAGAAACGACAGCACCACTTTATATACCACGGGGCTTCAGACAAACAAAATGACGAAACTAGTATATTTACAAGTAAATAACTAACTAGTTCAAAAACATCCCTAAAAGCCGAGGTATCAACTTGCCAAAACACTTAAAAGAAAAAATCACCTTCCTGTTAGGAAAGCGGGGGTGTGCCTTTCTGCAGGACCACCATCTTGGCGCCCCTTTCCCAGCCCTGAGGACCCGTGCCGACACCCATGCCCCCGCCTGGCAGAGTGTGTCTCACTCACATTGCGTGGTGGGCCTTCACCTGAGTGCGGCAGTTGCGGCCCCAGTAGCAATCAGGACGGGATGTGACAGCCACTAGGAAGAGAAAAAATGATGTATTTGTACTGTACATCACACTCACAAGCTCAGCTACGTGAATTTAAGTAAAGACCCAAGGGGACAAACAGCAGGAAAAGGCATCGCATTTTGTCATGCTTTATAACTAGTGTCCTTGGCCTGCTCAAGATTTCAGGAAAGGAAAAAAGTTTAATTGAAAACCCAGTTAGGAAGTGAGACTACTGCCCAGTTTTGTCCCTGCTGAGAACACGGAGCAAAGGCCCAAACAGAGTACCTATTGTAAGAAGGAACACAGAAGCCCGTCCAGGCAGAACTGAGTTGGGGGCGAGGGGCTTCCTCACCTGGCAACTCGGAGGCAGGAATGCTCTGTCGATACTGGTAGGTCAGCTCTCGGAAGCTCCGCAGGCCACAGCAGTAACACAGCACGGTGTTCCCCGTGACTCTGTGATCTGCAAGGAGCACAGCCTCACGTGGGCATGCCAGTCAGCTCGCGGCCTCCTGTTTCCAGAGCAGCTGCGGCCTTGCAAAGAGTGGGAAACCCAGCACCGCTCCACACGGGAGGCAGAGATAGGGGCCAGACACTCAGAAAACGAGAACGAGACCAACCTACTTCCTCACACCAAAATAATTCCACTTGGATAGAAAAAATTCAAATATCTTAAAATTTTTAAAAAGTACTGAAAAGAATGAATATTATTCTAAGTATGTCACAAAAACCAAACAGCACCCAGGAAAGGACTTGTAAATCTGACTACCTACCTGCTTAACACAAACCCATTGCCCCTTTATATGACAAAGACCATACACCAACCAGACCCCCACATCCAGACAGCTTAATGTGGGCCAAGGTCACAAGCCAGTGAACCACGAAACAAAAAGATCTTGGGGGCGCCTGGGTGGCTCAGTCGTTAAGCGTCTGCCTTCGGCTCAGGTCATGATCCCGGGGTCCTGGGATCGAGCCCCGCATCGGGCTCCCTGCTCGGCGGGAAGCCTGCTTCTCCCTCTCCCATTCCCCCTGCTTGTGTTCCCTCTCTCGCTGTGTCTCTCTCTGTCAAATAAATAAATAAAAATCTTTAAAAAAAAAAAAAAAAAGATCTTCAATTCTGTTAATGTTCCAACACAGGCAGACAAACGACGATACGTCCAGTTTGCCTGCTCTGTATTTACAAGACTGCAGGGCAGCCGGGCTCAAGAAGATGCTGGCCTTCACACCTGAGGCACGTCCTTGAGCAGGAAAGTCACTGTGGCAAAGTCCCAACTGTGCTGAGCGCTGTCCAACAACCCTACTTATTTAGCCAAATGGAACAATTTCTCAAGCCTAACACACTGCATGCTCACTCAGCAGCTACAGTGCTGACTCAGAGAGTGAAAAGGAGAAAAAATCCCTCAATATCCTCTACTCATGAATCGGCAAAATAAACCATGGTATTGGAACGCTACGTAATAAAAATCAAGGTGTACTGCTGAGCAAACAGGCTACAGAACAGCGCAGGTGGTAGGGCTTCATTTACGAGGATGGTGTGCACATGTGGGCAGGTGCACAGGCCATGCAAGGATCATCACTGCTCAGGTGCTGGGATTCCCAGTGACGTTCACTTATCCTTCGTGCCTCCCTCTGTCACTCACATGTCTTTGTGAGCCATGTCATCCTTAGAGTAGTCCTTAAGAAGCTAACGGAGTTCAGGCTCAGATGATAGGTCTGGGCAGCCCCAGGGCTGCTGCAGAGAAGACCTGAGACACTTGTGAGAATGTGTCCACAAGACAGAAACTGCTTAGAAGGATCCCCAACAACTTCTAAAGATATCATTACCTTTCATGATAATGTATGTCTCAGAAAGAAAAGTCATTTGGGGCTCCTGGGTGGCTGAGTCGGTTGAGGGTCTGACTCTTGGTTTCTGCTCAGGTCTCAAGTCATGATCTCAGGGCTGTGGGATCAAGCCCTGCATTGGGCTCCACGCTCAGTGGGGAGTCTGCTTGGGATTCGTTCCCTTCCTCCTTCTCCCTCCGTCTTTACTCCTCCCTGCACACATACGCCCTCTCTCTCAAATAAATAAGTAAAATCTTTTTGAGAAACAGAGAGAGAGAGAGAGAGAGAGAGCGAGCGCACCAGAGGGGGGAGGGTCAGAGGGAGAAGCAGAACCCCCCGCCGAGCAGGGAGCCCGATGTGGGACTCGATCCTGGGACTCCAGGATCATGACCTGAGCCGAAGGCAGTCGCTCAACCGACTGCGCCACCCAGGCGCCCCATAAATAAGTAAAATCTTAAAGAAAAAAAAAAAAGGCGTTTGCTGATTTTTTTGCAGCCCCCTCCCTCAGTGACAAAAATCACATTTCACAATGTCCTGGGTGTCCCTGGGAGACAGGGCAAGCCTACACCCCGTCACCAACACACCAAGCGAGAGGCCAATGAGGGCCCTGAGAGTCTGGTAACAAGCAGCCAGCCCCAGGACTTCCATGCTGACAAAGGTAGAGACCCGGTCTCTTCAGCTGGGACCCGCCCTTCCCCATGGCAGAGAAACCCTGGAACTTTAAAGAAAACCGGAAGTGTCGGCACCTTCCTGTCCGCCTCTGTCAGGCTGGGGGGAGGGCGAGGCTGTGCGTGTGGGAAGGCAGCCGCACAGGAGCTGCCCGTGCTCGACCTGGCAGGTTCTACTGCGTTACAGGAGTCAAAGGCACCCCCTCTGCAGAGAGGGAAGCAAGGGCCACGATGCTTACCAGACAGTAAAAACGCTCCCCTCTGCAGAGCCACCAGACTTTCAGTCAACATATTTTTCCACGTCAAACCCCTGGTTGCCAGGTAATTCTGTGACGGGGAAGAAGCGAAATCTTAAGATACTAGCTTGGAAGAAGAAACACTAAAATGACAAGAAGGCAGAAGTTTCATAAAAGGCCCCTGAAGGTGGGTAAAGCCACAGCCCAGGCGAGCTAAACATGGCAGGGATTTGTATCGGGCAGCTGAGGGGGAGTGCTGTGTGCAGTTGTGGGGGTCTGCTTCCAAGACCACAGGACACCTGGGACAGCCCGAGGACCCCGCTGCCCGAGCCTGACATGATAACACTTAGCTCACCACCTAGTTCACAGGGTTCTTGTCTGAGATGCTCTGTCAGAGCCTCAAAAGGAGGGCTAACTTCAGAACTGTGAACATGTGAGTTACCACACTCTCTCTAAAATCCCGCAAAGACATTCCTAGCACAGGAGTGGTGGGACACCCACCCTTGGCCAGAGCAGCTCTAGCCCATGACCACACGAGGAAGTGTGGAGGGTTTGGATCTACGTTCTGCCCTTCAGACACACAGAGCTGCTTGGCTCCTTCTGTGCGAACCTACACACAAGAAAGCACCACGTAGACATCTAACCAGAATGCAGTGGTGCTGAGGAGTCGGGCCAGCTTCCTAAAACATGGGAAGGAAAATGTCAGAGAGGAGGAAGTCAGAGAGAGGCCCTGGTTCCACCAAAGGG